CCAGAGTGGAGATCCCGCGATTGACATGCCCCTCGGCCAATTGCATCCCTTGTTTGTGACACGTTCAGGTGGATGGCGTGGAGCATGCTCAGTCTGTTTCGAGAGCAGCTAAGCAGTGCAGGAGTGAATGGTACAGCACTGCAGCATATGGGAGTCTGTCTCTCTACTCCCTGTAGGTTTAAACTGAACATCTTCAAATTAGTCAGAGAGAGATCAAAGCAGCCCTCGCCATCCTCATCGAGAGGAAGGCTTTGAACTTCCTCCTCCCTCTCCTGTGAGTGAGTGTGTGTGCGTGAGAGGGAAAGAGAGCGAGAGAGAGAAGGGATGAGATGGGGTGGTGTGCTGGTATGGAAATGAGTGAAATCTCATGAGTGTGTTTCTGAGAGGTGAGAGAGTTTCTTTTTGATCACGTGTGTGTGTGTGTGTGTGTGTGTGCGTGTGTTCATGTTCATTCATGTCATTCACTTGCACAGATTTTATTCCTTGGAATTCATTAATTACTTGGTTCGTTTAGTTATGATTTCAGCATTTAAATACTTTATTATCTCATGTTGTAATCAGAAACTGTCCACTACATCTGCCCTAAATACAGTATCATACTTATGTTATTCTCAATTTGAAATGGCTTAATTCAGATAAATGTAAATATATGATATATTTACATTTACAATATATTATATTATATTATATTATTATATAGGGGGCCTTTGAATAGTATGTTGGACAGTACTATAATATATTCTAGGAATGTTGATATAGGTAAATTAATTAACCACATTCATTTTGTAATTACAGAAGTGTCAGAACTATGTTTTTTTTTTTTTCAGATTTCAGTTTATATTATAATTAGATATATTAGAATTATTTATTAGGTGTTAGATGTGCATTAATTGTATTAATGTTAATTATATTAGTAAATATAGTATATTTTGATATATTCTTATATATTAGAATTTTAAGTCAATCCTGGCCCCCTGGCTGTAGATGGCTTTTTTTCTACATAAGTCATTTTTAATAACAAAACAAAAAAAAAACTGATAATAATTTTTTTTATTGATTTTTAAACATTGTCGTAAATGCACTGTATACTAAAATAAATCAAAATAAACTCAAAAATACAATGAATTAAAAGAACTGAAATCTTAAAATGAAGACTTCATTATAAAATCAAATCAATAAGAAAAAGAAAATCTGTAAATAATGTGCAAGATAGATGTTTTGTTAGAATATTTTTTAATAAATGGCTGATCTCGATGTTAGGTAATGTTTGTACGGTCTACCATTTTGCTGTAATCACTATGAAAGATTCGGAGGTTGTCGGGATTTTTCCACGCTCTGTGTTTTCATCAAATTTAAAAATAAAGTAAAAATTAACAAAACTTCATATGAGCTACACATTCATATTCTGCCTGCCTCTGAGACGGATATTTGACATCTACAGGTCACGAAGAGGCTCATAACAAGAAAGGCCTAGAATATCATGAAATACAGTGAATATATATTTATAGAGAGTATATTCGCCCATATAGGTGTATTCGCACCTTCATTGTTCTCATTGTTCTCAAGAGGTTTTTGTCCCTTTTTTTGCCGTATTTGCCCTGAGCCCTGATTATTTAAGAGTCTAATACTCCCATTATAGCCAAAGGTCGTTTTCTTTATTGCTTCTGTTCTTTGTGCTGGCACTTGTCATGTATGAATAATGGAATTAAAGCTGTTAAAATCTGATCTAAATTGTAAGATCGTTTTGTCAGACTTGTTCATCTGTGCACCAGTAGTCACCTAGCAACAACCAAATAAAAGTGTGAGCATTCTGTTGTCTGTGCCGTGTGTGGTTTCTTGCATTACTGAGCTGAAATGTCCTCTCACGCACATAAGCGTGTTTGCCATCATTATAGAAATGTATACGGAAGGTCAGTGGCTATTATATGGCTGAGAGATTATATTCCATTTGATTTTCTACTCTCTGGCCATTACTACACAATCTTTATCATGCTCAGTGGTCGTGATGTTCAAAGCGAGTGGGTTTGTGCAGCTTTTGTTATCTCTTCTGGCCCTTTGGAATCACACTTCATACCCAAAATGACTACACATGATGACTACTTTCTGATGTGGAAAATGGTTTGAAAACACAGATAAAAATGGGAATACTCTGAAATGTGCCACTTCTCTCACAATAGCCAAGGAGCCCTATAATTTCATGGCGTGTTAGGACAGAGGCAGGAGACATCTCTGGCGGGTGTTTGGCTGGAGGGCCTCGGAGCCTGATATCACACGCTGAATGATAACTCTCAGAGAACTGCTTGCCTCTGCTCCAAAAAAAAAAAAACTCCCGCTGATCACACGCTGCTGCCGCCCCGGCAATGGGAATAGCCTGGAACAAGAGAGATAAAAGAGGTCAGTCTCTTTGTTTGTCCAGCCATCCATCTGTCTGTTTATCTGTCTTTTCAAAGCACTATGCACAACTGCTGTGTGTGCTATGCAGAAACATCAAACAATCTTAAGGGGGTCTGAATACTTTCCGTACCCACTGTATATAAAATCATGTTTATTTACACACATTTCCTCCCCAGGTAGGCATACTTTTGCATTTTTTTGTATATTCCACATCTTCGATGCAGTATGCACATGTAGACGGTCTGTGCATGTTGGGATTTTGTTGCAATTACTATTATTTATATTTTAATGACACTGTTCTTTGTAGTGTGAGGATGCAGTGTTTGCATTTTGCATAGCTCTAGTGCTTTCACAATACAATCCAGAATTGTTTTACGGCAGCGCCCCCTTGTGTATTATATGAGAAAGCACAGATTGTCCTCTATAGATATGCTGTGTAGTTGTTTGGTTTTGTTTATAATTTAAGAAAAATGCTTTCATAGCAAACCTGAAATATATCAGCAGAGAAAATAGCTCGTGTTTTAGATCCTCAGTCAGGGACAAAACTTTAGTATTTTATAATTATTTTGTTAACTGAAATAACATTATTTCTACTCTTTGCCAAGGCAACGTTTTTATTTAGTTTAAGTTGATGTACTAAATTAACTAAAACTGAAATAAAGATAAATGAAAACTATATATATATATATACAGTATTTTTTTAACATCTAATAAAAACAATGAAATTACTACATTTAAAAAAAAAATATATATATATATATATATATATTACTAAAAACTATAATATTCTCTCAGTGATCCTAAAATAACACTGATTAGGAATACAAAGGCAGTTCTTTAACCACTTTAAATTTATATATTCTTCAGCATTACGTTTTAAATATCAAATGGTGTTACTTAAGATTTGAAGCTTTAGTAATAACATTTAAGAGTATTAGCAACATTTTTATTGACTTATTTTATTGGTGTTAGTTAACCGTATATTTTGCCTGGTTTTGGCATTGTACTTTTCTTAAATGAACACTAGATGGCGGTGCATCTTCATTGCATTAGGTCTGTGTTACTGAGCGGTCCATCTCTTCGTTTGTTGACTGTTCAGAAAGAGTTTAGCAAGTCTTGAGTGATGGTTGCAACTTGTTTAATAGTTTTAAATAAATGTTTTTGTTTCTGTAACATAATAAGAACTGTTTTCCAGGACGACTAAATTGTTCTGTGTTATTAACTACCAGGCCACTTCTTCCATAAAGAATCAACGTTGCGTTTTTACCAACCCGCAAATACCCATCTTCACATTTATTGTAGGTAAAGCGGGTTTGGGCTTTGGCTGGAGGTGTTGAAGCTCACTTTTGGGCCTCATCCAGACGATGCGATTAATCCCTCACAGCACGTGCTCACTTCCTCCGTGTGCAACAAGAGACAGGCGTCAGGTCACATATACAACAAACTGAATTTAGCCTGCATGGTAAAAAGAAAAATACTTAAGTGTCAATTTAGAGAAAATGTCGCCAAATTTAGTAATGGCTTCCATTTTTGGCCAAAAGGAGACTTAAAGATCAGTTCTACAGTACAAACCACCATTTCATAGAAAATTTATGAGGGAACCCATTGCTGCTAATTTTGCTCCAGTTTTGGGACTACAAACTGAATTCACTTTTGGGCCTCATCCAGACGATGCGATTAATCCCTCACAGCACGTGCTCACTTCCTCCGTGTGCAACAAGAGACAGGCGTCAGGTCACATATACAACAAACTGAATTTAGCCTGCATGGTAAAAAGAAAAATACTTAAGTGTCAATTTAGAGAAAATGTCGCCAAATTTAGTAATGGCTTCCATTTTTGGCCAAAAGGAGACTTAAAGATCAGTTCTACAGTACAAACTAAGGGCTAACAGTGGAGAACTGTGAATTCTCAAGCACGTTCAATCAGATGGTTGTGGTCATTTGCTGCAACTATAGTCTTTAGCTTTAAAGTCATACATGCATGGTTTGACTGTTTGTTATTTGTGTCTTCTAGTATCACAGATCTTAGTTTATTTAGCCTATTTACTTACTCTTAAGGCCAAACCACCATTTCATAGAAAATTTATGAGGGAACCCATTGCTGCTAATTTTGCTCCAGTTTTGGGACTACAAACTGAACCTCTCTGTAGTTTTTATTGGACAACTTTTTATGCACGGTTCAATAATAATAAATGAATTCAGTGGTCATCAAGTCTTCAATGATTTGATCACTTAGGAGATGTTCTAAATTTGTTAACCGATAAATTCACAAGGCTGCAAGTGGCAGAATAAATGTACGCTATGCATTAAGTTGTTTTGATCGTTAGTTAGCCTAACTAAAAAGAAACATTTCGTTACAGCAATACTGCGTTAATTCGGTGTAACTGATTGGAATATTACAGAATGTTAGGTGCAATGGCTGTTCACTACAATGTGCCGGCCATGAATCGCACTATGCCATCATTTGTTCAGCAGTTATCATTGCTATAGTTGAATTTAGGAGCATGCCCGTTTCTAATCTTCTTAATTAAAACGCCCTCCTGATTGGACAGAGTGATAATCCCGCGGGGCCTCGCGCTCTTACTCACTCGCGAGTAGGACTGCGCGCGATTCTCAATCTGCCCAGGGCGAGGGCAAGACGCACTGCAAGAACGCGCGCGAGTTCAGACGACGCGTCTAAAGTGCACGCAACATCGCTGTCTGCGCGGAAGAACGTGATAGGGGAAGAACGATCTCTATCAAAAAGTGTCTTCATTTTCAGCAGCCCTTTGGAGAACGCCAACGAAAGAAAAGGAAGAAGACAGCGCGAGGAAGCTTTCAAGAGCGCGCGCCAAAGTTTTCCATCCGCTCCGTTTTTTGTTTTAGTTTTATTTCGTTTCTCCAAAATGAATGCCGGCGAAGAAAACTTGCTGAAATCGATCAGCAACGACACCCTGCTGGACCTGACACAGCGCTACGGACAGTCCGCCTTCGGCTTCGGCGCTGGCCATGGTGCTGGGAGTCCTCGCCGCTTCTCCCTCACACCTGCCGCGGATTTCCTCTCCGGTCAAACGGGAAAGTCGAACGAAAGCGGCGGAGAGCAGACCAGCGATGAAGACGACGGCTTCGACCACCTCGAGTCTCGTAAGAGAGGCGCGGGCTTCGACGAAGAGAAGCATCCGAGCGCGCTCTCCAAGAAGCCGAAGGAGCAGAGATCTCTCCGGCTGAGCATCAACGCGCGCGAGCGGAGACGCATGCACGACCTCAACGACGCGCTGGACGGCCTGAGGTCTGTGATCCCCTACGCGCACAGTCCGTCTGTGAGAAAACTCTCTAAAATCGCAACTTTGCTTCTTGCAAAAAACTACATCCTAATGCAGGCGCAGGCGCTGGAGGAAATGCGCCGGCTGGTGGCGTATCTGAACCAAGGACAGACTATAACTTCGCCGATTCCCAGCGCGCTCGCGCCTTTCGGACAGGCGGCCGTGTATCCGTTTTCGAGCACGGCGCTGGCCACCTGCGCGGAGAAATGCAGCTCGTTCAACGGGACCCCGTCCAACCTGTTCAAACACTGCAACGACAAGCCTTGACTTCCACGCGCTGAACTCTTCCTGCTTCATCCTTATGTTGCTCTGAATTCGCGGTGTTTTGTTGGGAACGGGCTTGGGCTTAGGTCAGATTCAAACCCCCTGCTGTGTGTCTAAGTAACTACGATGATTTATTAGATAATACAACAAATAATGTTAACCGAGGGACACGGTATCTCTGGAGCAAGCTTTAAACCCCTCAATTTTTAAAAGCCTTTTCCCTTTTATCCCAAGTGATGGATTGAAAATGATTCGTATTTGTGTGAAAAACTAACAAGCAAACAATAAATTCTATGTTCACAGCTTGCGGAGGACTTATTTTTCAGTTCAAACATTTTCTCTTTCGGTTTCAGCGTTGCTGGTGAACTATGCAATTTACTGCAATTGCCCACAAACAGTACTTTCTTAAAAACCTGAGTCAGAAATGAATAAACGGAAGCTGAGCTGTCTCACCTCCACCGGTGTATTAGGAAACACGGTGTAACATTCTCAAATGTTTGGCCTAGAAATATTTTGTTTTTGTTATTGCACAATTCACTTGATTGTATTGTACAACTGAAGAATAGGTACTTGATCAAGCCTACAAAGTATTTGATCTGGTTGCGACATGAGTTTCATACTGTATATTGTTTATATGTCTTTATAATTAAAACATATTCTACGACCATCTCTGTTGTTTTCTCCCAAACATACAGTATATGCTCACATTAGTCATTCAATTTCTTTTCAAACTGTTTTAAAGAAATGAAGAATCTTTGCTGGAGGAAAACGTGAAGTGTTTGAAAGTTTTTTGTTTTTACAAATAATGCGACCTTTGACATGAACAAACTTTGGATTATGGTTTATTCATAGACCTCATGTGTACTGCAGACAGGTCAGTTTTTTACTGCTTTTGTTTCATATATCACATGCAATGTCATTTTGCAAATCATTTAATAACCATTAAAGGATTTCAAATAACGGCTGTATTGATGGTCAAAAATAAAAGCTTCAGTGGTTGCTATTGTTGTTAGTAAACAGGGCCTTAGCATCTGTACATACCAACACGAGTGTCTCTGCCACACTTCTATGTATTGAAGGCTTGTGTCACGTTTCTGGCGTGTAGTGGATTTATAATCTCTTAAATGAGACTGGTCTCTGGTCTTCACTGGTAAGATGCGTCCTGCTGCTGTTGTGCAGGGGCCGGAAGCGCCCCGGGGCCGAGGGGACCTGTCCTTGAGTGTTTGTGTGATCGTGAATCTGCAGTGTTCTGTAACCTACCCCTTCCACTTATTAACACGATTTCAGCGCCTGTCGTCCACAGCCTGCTAATGCATGAGCGCAGCAAAGGCACGCTCTTTAACTAAACCTTTTGTCAGTGATCTAACATTGAATCGATATATCACTTTGTTTTAGACTGTTCTTCTTGATGCTTTAGCCTCGGAGAATTTCGCTTTTAATCGTTTTACAGATGTATTGCGCAAACAGAGGAGCCAAATAAACACCATAACGCGTTTAAAATAATTGTGAGAATTCAATTCTTTCCTTAATACATTTAAGATGATATATTTTAAGTTATTAATTTGATGTAGGCCTGTATTGTAATTTTGACCTGTTTTGAAAAAAAAAATCGATTCCTGAGTAACTGCACGATTAAGGTGCCTTTCATATCTCCAATAAACATAAACAGTGCCGTTAACTAAGAAAAGCTGACGTTGACTGTGTTGTTATGGGCATTTTTATGACACATCAACAGTCTAACTTAATTTTATTTTATTTTATTTTATTTCACCATCAAGATAGACTTTTAGAATAGAACTTCTCCATGCTGTATTATCAAATGTACACATTTTCTTTAGAAAACACTTTGGCCTATTAGCACAAGGCTAGTATGGCTCAGTCCCGTTACTTTTGAAAGGAACTGCTATTCCAACATGTATTAAAATATTTGCCTTTAGCTTAATATGGCACAATGCAGTTTATTAACTTGATAAACTGCATAATGAAGTGTAGGCTAATGAACATATTTGAGGGAATTTTTAAAATCAAAAAACTACAATAATGAGTTTTTCATAATGTAAAACGCTCCCATTCGTGCAGTGAGCTACCTAAAAATATTGTTTACACATCAAAGAAGCATAACATTATTAAGGTGCCTTTCATATCTCCAATAAACATAAACAGTGCCGTTAACTAAGAAAAGCTGACGTTGACTGTGTTGTTATGGGCATTTTTATGACACATCAACAGTCTAACTTTATTTTATTTTATTTTATTTTATTTCACCATCAAGATAGACTTTTAGAATAGAACTTCTCCATGCTGTATTATCAAATGTACACATTTTCTTTAGAAAACACTTTGGCCTATTAGCACAAGGCTAGTATGGCTCAGTCCCGTTACTTTTGAAAGGAACTGCTATTCCAACATGTATTAAAATATTTGCCTTTAGCTTAATATGGCACAATGCAGTTTATTAACTTGATAAACTGCATAATGAAGTGTAGGCTAATGAACATATTTGAGGGAATTTTTTAAATCAAAAAACTACAATAATGAGTTTTCCATAATGTAAAACGCTCCCATTCGTGCAGTGAGCTACCTAAAAATATTGTTTACACATCAAAGAAGCATAACATTTCGTTTTTAATGTGTTTTATAGTCATTACAGTGAGATGTGTTCTTTAGAAACGTCAATTTAAAAATGCCATCACTTCTAATGAGCTCCAGTCTCTGTACCTGTCCACTAAGTGTGCGCTCGAGAGAAAGTGATCTTGAACTCGCGCTGCGTTAAATGAACAGTCATCACTCCCAGTCGGTGCGTCAATACAGTGTCGGGTCGTAACAGCATTGCACCGCTGGCCCGTCGAACCGGCGCTATCCTGACATATGACTTACCGCTGAACACTTCTGACAAGGAGGAAAGCGGCGATTTAGACTGACAAGCGCTGCTGTTTCAGTTTTCCTAATCACTCTTGATTTCATCTAGGCTAATTGGTGTGGATTAGAAATGTGACCGTTGTAATGACTTTTCTTGTTTAGCCTGTTCATTGCTTTTATGAACTTGTTTTAAGATGAGTTTCTGATGATTGTTGATGTGGTTCTGCTTCTTACAGGACCTCTGGTTTTAAAGAGGAATCTTATAATTTGCTAATTAAAAAGTTTTGCACAAAGACGTGGGATATAGCCTAGGCCTACAGCACCTATGAGAAAGTATCATTAAAAAGTTGTTCACTCACATGAGATGAAAAAGGTTTTATTTTACGTGGAACCTAAGAAGATATAATTAGTGGTGTTTCAATCGCTAATGAATCGTTTGTGACCGATTCCTTTCGTTCAGGTCCATTGCTTTAGCTGTAAATGATTCGGTGTTTTTAGCGAATCAGTTGAGTCGGTTGACTCGATAATAGCTCATAAAAGACGCTCCCTTCTTTTCTGTGGGTTCACTGCAGAATGATTTCATTACCGTAGCTGGGAGCTTCTGTTTATGTGTGTTTGTCGCTCTTTGCAGGCGGCTGTGGAGAGAGAAAAACATATGCCCTTAAGTGCCGGACTCTGCCGAGTGTTTCTGACAGCACTGCTGAGAGTCATTAAGCTCTTGAGGAAGCACATCACAGCTCTGCCCTCACTCATGTACATACGTATATAGCCGCACACACATGTTTGGGACTGCGAGCTTCGGCGATGCAAACAGGCCGAGAGCAACAAAGGGGAGATGGGGGCGGACTGCTGGAAACGGCGTTCAGGTTGGTGTTTGTTTATGCACAGCAGACACACAGACACTGGAAGGCACGCAGGCAGAATGTCAGAGGCCTCTGGAATCAGAAGAGGTAGTTTGGAAGGAAATACAAACGTGTATAAAGCAGTACGTCTGTATGTGGTGACCCTTGATAGACCTGTGTGTGCGTGAGCGCGGGCTGAAACGCTGATTTAGAGGGTACAGATGGTCCGTATGAGATAATTAGCTTCTTTTTATATCCCTTTGGTGCTGCTTTTTGTTTGTTTTCTTCCATGTCTTGTACTGTCTCTCCATTTATTCAGGTGGAGACGTGCATTTTTAAGAGGGGATCCCCTTCGGTGGTTCTGTGACATCATCACAGCCCCCCTGCTTGCGGCCCAGTTTGTCGTATGCGATGACCGGCTAAGTCATTTGGTTCCGAGGAGCTATGTGATTCAGGCCGACGTGAAGGACAATGCGGCATGACGGACCAGCCCTCCGTTCGTTACTCTAATCAGACGTGGATGCAGGAGGGAGGCACTGCCCGTCTATATGCCCGCTAACGCTCTTAGCGTGGCATGCAGGCCTGAACCCTCACCCATCGCCACAAGGCACCTGACACCATGCATTTAAACTGTAGAATTATGCTGGATGAGAATGAGGAGCGCAGAGGAGAAGAAAAGAATGTTAATGGTCCCAAGGAGGAAAAGCTATAGCTTCATACAGATGTTTTGGTGTAGTCTAGCAGACCCAGCTGCAATATCAAGAATCAGCATTTTGTTTTGGGTCTATTTAATTCCGCAGAATATTCCAGGTTTAATTTATGATCAGCATTTGGGGCATAATGTTGATTACAACAAAAAATAAAAAATAAAAAAGTAAAATAAATAAATAAATTCAACAAAATAATATTTTGGCTTCGGTACAAGTCCTCTAAATTTGTATCAATTTCCAGTTATCAAAAAATGAATGACCACTTGTCAAAAAAGGCAAAAATTTGGGCCAATACTGTATGTGAACATTAAAATACTCACTGCTTTAATAGTATTGCCACAAGATATAATATGGATGCTAACACAATTTTAGTGTGAAAAAAATTGCTTATTAACCATATCTGTGTAAAGTTACATCCACTTTTGCTTTGACAACAGAGTGCCAAATTTCAGCTCTAATAATACACAAGATTTAACAGAAAACTTAATTTAAGTACTTGTATAAAATTAACTTTACATTTCTGCTTTTAAATCATTCAAAAATGGCCCCCATTCACTTCCATTGTAAGTGCTTCACTGTAACCCATATCTTTGCTTTTTTTTAAGAAAAATAGGGACAGGTGCTAATTAATTTTTGTGGTAATTAACATGGTACACTTTAGAATAAGGTACATTATTAGGGAACACTAATGTATTGACTAACATTAACTAACAATGAGCAATACATTTGTTATACTATTTAAAAAAAATTAAAAACCTATAACCCTTTGTTAACTATAACTATTAATGTATAATATCATTTTTGAATCATATTAGCTCAGATCCATTCAATAATATTAACAGACACAACTTCAGATTTTAATCATGTATTAGTAAATGTTGGAATTAACATTAACTATGATTAATAAATGCTTTAGAAGTTGTTTTATTGTTAGTTTATAATGTTATTAACCAGTGTTAACTATCAACATTATGCCACAAAAGTTGAGCTTAACGTGTACTGAAGCCAGAATATTACTTCTGAATCACTGAAAAAAAATGCAGAGAAAGTTTTACTATAAGCCTTCAGGCATGTAGTCTTGCACTGTATTTAAAAGCTGCGTAACAGAACCAGAGAGAAAGGAGGCGAGAATAAGTGGTTGTCTCCCAGTTCGTCAGTGTATGTGAGGTGACACACAGGGCAGCCAGTCCACTTCCTCAGCTTAATCTCTGTAATGGCCCTCAGACGACAAACTGGTGGGGGCAAATTTGGGGAGATGACAAGAGAATAGAAACACTGAAAAAAGAGACACGCACCAGTTCAACCAGATTTCCCCTTCACTGTCAGGGCCATTACATTCGTGAACACACAATCAGGGCGTTTGTGGTAGTGTAGCACGACATGCTTGCACACTGCAGACACGTGCATGCTAACAAGGTCTCTTTGAAAAAACATGAATTGATTTTTAAAGATGAAGTAATAGAATTGCAGGA